GACTATTTTGGACAAAATATCAAATCAAGAGACAAGATATTGGACAAAGTATCAAATACAGAGTTATCTCTGTAAAAAATGTATCTATAAAATTCATATTTTTTATTGGTTGAGTAATGTAGCTATTATTTCGTTGAATCCTTTTAAAATTGAAAATTGTAAATTGGATTGTTTGTCCTCTCGCCGTCCGATTTTACCACGCCTTTGGGGTAAAAAAAGACCAAGTTACAGTTTTTTTAAAAACAGCAAAAAAAAAACACATTTTTACAGTGATGAATTAACTGGAGGTTGTACTAAAACATAGTCAGATGGTTTTTTGTTTATTGTGTCTTATTGGTTGTTATGTTTTTCGTTTATTTTTCACAATATAATTGCTCAAATTTACTTAGCCTTACCTTATGTATGTGTATTTTTAAAAAACAATCTGCGTCTTTGGCGTGAGTCAAAATTCGATCTTTCCTCGATGTTTTCTCGTCTAAACCGATGTTAAAATTTAAAAACTATAAAATGAAACTGGATAAGCGCTTGCGTTGATTAGTTTTTTGAGACAATTGGTCGATCCGTTTCTTTACTATTGGCAGAAAAGTGCAAAAATTATCGTCCATGGTTTTGTAAAAAATTCTTAACCGTTTTTTATTCGATTGATACCATTTGGAAATAAATAGTTTCTGTCGAAGATCGGTCAAGTCGTTTCTTTTTCATAATAGATTGTCGCATTTTTTAATTTTAACATTTAAGTGACACTTTGCATGGCGATAGATTTTCTACTCCAAATGAACGTATTATACTATAATAAGGCCTGCGACAAGTGGTTTTACTTATGATAATTAAAGTTTGGATTATTTGGCCGCGCTTTTAAAAAATTCACCGTGTGTATGTATTCGGCTTCGTATTTCGTATGTGTTCGTTTTCCATCAATGTGTAATATTCAAACCATTTTTTAACTAGTTTGTATTGGTATTTTGCCTTTAGGCAAGTTACATGAACTTCCCGAAATTTGTTAATAATCGACTTTCAGTAAAAAATAAATTAATTTATGAGGGATTCAAGGTATTCCCAGTGGATTTACAATATCACACATAATTGAAAACGAAGACATTAACTCGGAGTATTTTCTAAAGGCAAATTTTCAAAATTCAATAATTTTTATAATTGAACTAGTTGCCGTAGGATTTTAGTGGTTAAGTATGTTCATTAAGACCAAGTACTCTATCGATAAACCAAGTAAATCGTCTACTTTTAATTTTAACAAACGTCAAAAAAACTACTCATTTTCTCAAACTTTGATGAATTTTCAAAATTAAACTACTTGTCGTAAGGCCGTAATATTTCAATACGTTGTATAAGATCATGATATATATCATCAAAAAAAGTTTCATAAAAATCGGCTCAAATATTTTTTTCAACGACGAAATACAAGCAAACGGCTTGGTAGATTTTCACCTAAAACTAATCATTCTCAACTAATATCTTTCGAACAGTTTTTAATTTTTTAAAATCGAATCGGTAGTTTGTGCTTAAATGTGGACGAAAAGTTTAAATCTTTTTTCCAAATTTCAAAGAAACGGCTCGGCCGATTGTCGAACAAAACTGACAAGCGTTAGTCCTCATTTAGACACATCAAATGGTTTTCGGTCCAGACGTTTTTGAGCAATCGCCGACGAAAAGTCTAATTTTGACAAATGCCAAAAAATCGATACTTATTTTTGCAAACTTTGACGATTTTTTAAAGCTAAACGAGTTGTCGTGTGGCCGTATTTGTATGATCTAGAAGACTATGGTATCTACCCGCAAAAAATTTTTTCAACACATCATTACAAGAAAACGGCCCGGCCGATCTCTACCAACAACTCATCAGCACGATTCCCAACCAATACTTTTCGAACGGTTTTTGAATTTTCAAAATCGATTCAGAACTGCGGGCTAAAACGTGGACGAAAATTTTTTCACTTTTCTGCTATTTACAAAGAAACGACTTGGCTGGTCGTCGCGCAAAATTGATAAACGCTAGTCCTCATCGCGATACATCGAATGGCTTTTAAATTTTTGAAATCGGTCCAGCCGTTTTTGAGAAAACGCGGATTTTCAGCAAAAAATCTGTTCAAACACACACACACTCAGACATACACACACACATACTTTCTCCAAAGAACTTTCTGCTTGTTTTGACATAATAATTGCTTTTGAAAAAAATTTGGCTTATTTTTTTTCTAAACTTTTTTTTGTACATGGAAAATAATTCAGATTTTAATATTGATTCTGACTAAAGTTTAAAACTTATATACTTCAAACAAATAGTTTTAACTTTGCAATTCAGTTTAAATAATTCTTATAAATATCAGACATTGTTACAATATTTATAATAATCTATTTGAAAACATTTAATATTTCTCGAACATTTCGTTAAGGTACAAGAAGTTCCAGCAATTTGCCTTAAGGCACGATGCCATACACCCCACTAGTTTATATATTGATTAAGTCGTCTATATACAGATGTTAGGATTACTGAAAGTTCATGCATAAGGACCACTCACAATCAGTTTAATTTTTTGATTTTTGAATGAAATTTTGTTCCTGAACTGTAATAAAACATATATTCGCAATACGATTAGAAAAATCCTTACATTTTAGGGTTTTTGACTCCGTCATTCGTCTACAATCAGTTAAATATTCAAGTTATAAAAGTGTTTGGTAACAAAATACATAAATAAAATCATTATGAAGTAATTTTGTTGTTGAATTAGTGTTTTATCTAAGTCCTAAAACAGGCTCAGGGGGGGGTCATGACCCCCGTGACCCCCCCCCCTGGATCCGCCACTGTGCGAAGTCATACTAACAATAAGCGAATTCTACTGTATATGCATATAATTATTTCAAGTGTTTGTAGAGAAAACTGAATTGTGGGTGTAAATTTATCGATGCAAATGCATATTCAAGTAAAATTACACATTACGCAACGGTCGTAGATTGTAGGCCGTCACCTTCAATTATCGTCGCGAGACGAATGCGTAAAATGTTCGATGCGTTTATTTAGTGCTATTCAACACTGTTCTTCTATATGAAACACAGCCGTCGATCGCATGAAGAAGCTCTAAGGTACAGTACATTGTTGGTTATTATTATCATTATTATTTATTTCTACAGATTCCAAGAGTTTATCTAGTCTGTTTGTCTGTACCGACCCGGCATGAAAATATATGATAGTTACGCGACATAATAAAAACATTATGGTAAACTCGTAAAACATAAGCGCGCTCTGAAGCAAAGGTGTTTCAAGCAAAGGTACATAGCGCTCTCGACGGTCGCTGCATGATGCTATAATCTGAAGGATTCAGGCATACTTCTCTATCTTGAGTTATTACTCTATAAACTACATGGCAAAAATAAACTATTTTTACTAGTTAATTTAAAAAATGAACATACTCGCATACTTCTTAAGGAAGGGAAAATCTTGAATCTGGACTGCTTAAGTGGAGTATAGGCGATTGCGCATGAAAGGAATTTTCAAGCAAGTGTAAAAGTTAAATATCATCATTTTATATCAATTCCGTGCTCATTACCAAACCCGAGGACAAGTACATATCTGAAATCTAATAGGATAGGGCGAAGCACAAAAGTCCATTTTGACTTTAAGTAATTATACTGTCCGAACCAAATAATCTACATCACAACATACAACACATGTCAAACAAATGTGTTTTTTTCACTATTTTTTGTAAATTTGTCAGCTTATACGGCAGCCAAGGGAAAACAGATCCAAATTTTTATTTTAAATTTTTTTTCCAAAATACAAGCTACAACCAATTCAAAAAATAAATTTAATGGGTACATGTTTTACAGAGATAACATGTTTTACTTGATCTGGTATTTCGTTAGAAATATTTATCAATATAGTTCGAGTAGCTATTTATTTTATTTACTTTTTTATTTACCAGTTTTTATTGCTTACACATTTGCCAGGATAAAGGTTTAGTCGGTCCTTTTTACCCCACCCACATGTAAGCTATTATTAAGGTTATATAATCGAAATAGGTGATTATAACTTGAAAATAACAATTCATCTTATAAAACAATTAAATAACGTATACTTGAAAATTATATTAAGATCTCGTAAACTAAACAACAGTGCTCATTAAAAAAACTTAACCATGAATGGATTAAATTCATTGAAATATCATATAAAGATGTAAATTCAAAATAAACAGTAGGAAATGTTAATTAAATGCAAAATCTTAATTATTATTGATTAAGTAGGGGGAAGTCCCGTAACGCCGGACGGCACCAAAAACCGGACACTCTATTTAACAAGTATTATTTAAGCAAGTATAAATCTTTCTATTTCAAAATATAAGTGAAAGGGGCATGGGGGGGGCACACAGGTACAGGATCACGCGCCAAGCCTCGCCTGTGACGTACACGGCCACATGAAAATCTTATGATGAATGCTCCAGCTGAGAGCATCGGTGTGGCCCAGCCAAAAGGGTAGATAAATAGTATTTTTTTTGCAATATCTAAGAATATTCGTCGAAGACACATGTGCAGACATTCCAGAGTGTGGAGATGGCTACATATGTGATCAATGCAGGTTATTTTGAAATGTCCGGTACTAGGTGCCACTGTTTAAAATTATATCCTTTTATAACAAAGTTTAATTGATAATATTAATTATTTTTCAGCAAAGATTGCGGTTTTGTTAATTTAGTTTGATTTCTAACTTTGTTATCTAACATTAATCATAATTTAATAAACATTTCGTAAAATATTTTTTGGTTTATTTATAAATAACCTTAGGTGTCCGCCACTAGGCGACTTCCCCCTATATTATTTCTCCATTTTGAGAAGTTCATGCAGCTTGCCTTAAGGTAAAATGCCATTTACATTTACTTATTTTATACCAAAATATTCTGAAGAATTTCACATTTCAGATTTTTTTTTAAATCTATTTAAATAGCAAATGGTCACCGTTTTATAAATCTCCAAAACAAATCAATTGCAGTTACCTGGTTAAAAAATTGATACTCCTGCGATACATTGACATCATCAGGCATTTAGATGGGAATAGGAGTTAATAATTAAATTCGCTCTGAGCAATGAATTCCATTGCTTCAAAGATTAGTAATAATTTTTAATTCAACAAACGAGATCATAAATATGTTAAAAAAGCAACTTTGTATATTAATTGTGTGCAGAGAATATTATCTCTTACAAACTAAAACGACGTGTGTAGGCCTGCTTCGAACAAAACTTTAAGCTGACTCAATTAGCTTTATGTGTAATAAGATAAACAACTGAAACTTTCATTAAGTAATACCCTTAGACTAGCAATTCATTAGGTAGTAAATATGACATGTGTCGTGTTATTAGAGCGTAGATTGGTGCGGCGGCGCTTAGAACGGCCAGCAGCCGCTCTGGATGATATATGAGCGCGCAAGGCCAATAGTCCCAATGAGTTTTATGAATAGTGCCCGGGGCGAGAACCGATTACCGTCAGTGCAGCTTTAGTAATTGGACGTGTGTTGATAATTCATTGCGTATCAAAACACGTATCGCGGATGCGCCATTCTTATGCTACCGCGATCTTGCACAAGTGCCTTCGCCGGCCCTTCGCTCCCGGAAAGCCGTAAGTCGTTGTCCTTCGGGGATGGAAATTGAAGCATATTTTGCTTTTTAGAGAACCGAAAGTTTATATGCCTGACTTTGGTCAGAAACCAAATAATGAAGATAGCATTCCAGAACGTAGACATCATATTAGTTTAAATCTGAACATTTTATTTAAGATTTTGATGAAAAAACTAATTTTTCCCTGTTGAGATTGAACGAATTTTTGGTTACTAGAAAATAATATACATGCTTTGTTTAAAAAATACATTACTAGTGGATTTCGACGTAAAGAAACACAATGGTCCAATTGTATTTTCAGTAATTATACTGTGAAACTTAAGCAACCTACATCACAGCTCATAGCACATATCAAACAACCCACTATCAAACTATGTTCAGTGATATTACCAGTTACTGTCTAATTTAGAAATATGTTTTAGCCGGGTAAAAAGGAACAACCAGGAGACTACAGTACCAATACCACTACAACTCATAAAACAATTAAAGTTTATAAATTAATCAAAAATATTTTACAAAATGTTTATTAAATTATGACTTATGTTAGATAACAAAGTTAGAAATCAAACTAAATTAACAAAAACGCAATCTTTGCTAAACAATAATTAATACTATCAATCAAACTTTGGTAACAAAAAATATGATTTTACAAAGTGGCACCTAGTACCGGACATTTCAAAATAACCAGCATTGAACACTAATGTAGCCATCTCCACACTCTGGAATGTTTACACATTTGTGTTTTGCGAATATTCTTCGATATTGCGAAAAAACACTTATTATCCACCCTTTTGGCTGTGCCACACCGATGCTCTCAGCTGGAGCATTCATCATAAGATTTTCAGTCTTTGACTAATAAATACGAAAAATGGCGGTATGTAGTGACCGTTAGCACTCATACAGAACAAAATTAAATAATTAGAATAAATTACGTCAATTCCCATAAGAAATATCAATATGTTTATTTCCGGCGCTAAAGGACGACTTAGTGTCCGGTGCTAAGGGACAGACAATTTCGTTCATTTGGTGGTACCTACTAAAATTGTTTAAAATATCTAAAAAATATCTATCTAAAAATATCTATCTAATAATATTCTACCATTTTACGGATAACAATCAAGTACTACTTTTATTTTTGAATGCCACTAAAATATAAATGCATAAATACAGTAGAATTATTTCCATTAATATTTTAAACGCCGTATTTTTGCGCCTAAAATAACAAAGGGTTACCCCCGCCGTGGACGTGTGCGTCACAGGTAAGTCTTGGCGCGTGATCCTGCCCCCCGCGCCCCTTTAACTTGTATTTTGAAATAAAAAGATTTATACTCGCTTAAATAATACGTGTTAAATAGAGTGTCCGGCTTTAGGTGCCGTCCGGCGTTACGGAACTTTTTCCTACTATACGTAAAAATTATATTTAGGTATCATAAACTAAATAAAAAAGTACAAAACAAAAAAACTACCAACGAAAAAAGTACTTTTCCTATGAATATTCGTTTATTTTCTGATGGCGACGTCATAAGAATTAAGGCAGGTTATATATTTTTGCCTTCTACTTTGAAAAGTATCATTAAAAAACTCTATACTTTACTTGTTGTTGAGTTAATGATGGGGGGCCTTTAAGATCCGGTCTACCCCACATGCATTATTTTCAAAAACATATGTTACTTAAATCAGAAATGATTTTTTTAATAAATTTGAAGAAAAAAGCTGTTTGTTGCAATTTTTGTATTGACATATTTCGATGCACATACTGATGTACTTAATGTGGCTTAATATTAATATGGCAGTTAGTGATTTTCTAGCAATATAATTTATAATGATAATTTTTAAGCTGTGCAATGAGATCGAATTGCATATTTGATTAATTTCATGTGTGATATTTTTAGTGTATTTTCATTTATACCAGTTAAAGTTAGAGAATAATTAACGACAATGCAAAATCTAATTAAATATATTGGATTTTGTATGGATATATAGATTTCAAATTATTAAATATTTCAACAGATTTCCATTTTTACAAAATAATAGAAAAAAAAACAATTTTTAAAATTATTTGACAAATAATATATTATCAAAAATTCACTTTTTAAAATGTTTCTATATTTGTCACATATTTGCTATTGCCTAATTTTAGTTTATTCAGTTATTATTTGTTTATAAAATGGGAAGTTTTAGTATTTGCCATTGAGGAACAATTCTAAACACAAATAGTTTAACTTAATATCAGTCAGAGTCATACGGCATCAGTATTGCGACAAATGATAAATGAAACTATTACTAACTGTATCAAATAAACAGTTGTATACACTACAAATAATTATAATTCTATGATATTTGAATATGCATCACAAAACAAAGAAAATATAACATACTGACATTAATTAATGTCGGACAAATGATTTATTGTAAGAGACCTCTGTATAACCACGTGACTGTTGTATCTAGTGATGTACACAAAGTATGCAAATACACAACTGGTAAAGATGCAATTTGCTTAAGAAATATTAAATTCTTGATTTATTCCCATCTTACCTGGTCATTCATAGAGTAAATGCGCATATCTAAAAGCCAACATTCATGTTCAAGATTTATTATATGTGAAAAATCAACGTGAACATTACTAATACAACATACACTGCCTGGCTGTTCGCTTTCCCAAACTAATGACTGACGACCCAAATCGTGACATATAACTTGGGTAATAACTTTCAAATAATGGCGAGAGGAATTGTATTTAATAATATTATTTATTAGTTTTAGTGTTCAATAACATTCAGAATTTTTTCCAATTTAATTATAGAAATAAAATTATTATACAGAATTTATTTGAACCGTGTGAGTTGTATATAACCATAAAACCTCCCAACGGTTTAATGTTCTCAAAAGATAAATCAAATAGAAATGATTTCATATTTTAGTAAATGTGTGATACTGATAGGGTAGCGCGGGGCACATAAGTCAAATTTGATTTTGCGCAATTATATTGTGAAAACCAAAACAATTATATCAAAAGAAATAACACATATCGAACAAGCAACTATCTGACTATGTTCAGTAAAACGCCTAGCTAATTCATCATTGTGCAATTGTGTTCTTTTCTGTTTTTCAGAAATTTGACACCTGGTTCTTTTTACCCCATAGGCGGGGTAAAATGGGACAGCCACATAGCAAACAGGTTCAATGTCATATTTATAATTTTGAAGGGATTTACGAAATAATTGCTACATTATTTAACAAATGAAAAATATTAATATCAAGGGCACATTTTCACAGATTTAACACTGCGTGTGTATAACCAAGATCTAGTATTTCGTCGAAAATAATCATCAGCAGAGTTAGAATAACTATTTATTCATTGAATCTCTTGTAAAATTGCATTTTCAAAACTTAATTTACTTTTTTATTTATTATTTTTTATTGTTTATATCTTTGCCAAGTAAATTTTCAGTTGGTCTTTTTTAAGTTATATAAGAAAAACTGTTGAATCTAAGAGACAGTCGGGCAAAAAGTGCCAAAAATGATAATTCAATTTTTGGGAGAATGGATAATCCGATTTGAAAGATTCCAAAAACACTTTATTTGTATTAATAAAATAAAAAACTTATTAAATTTTTGGAAAAGCAGGTCTAGTGGTTTCGGGGACCCAATAAACAAAAAGTAAAAAAAGCCATTCGGCGGTCAAAAATGATCATCAGGCATATGCACATCAAATTATCAGATATTTTATAGAGATTTGCCTTAAGGCACAATGCCATGCACCACTAGAACAATTTAATCCGGAAACAATCTATTTCATTTCGAAATAGATGGTAAACTCTTAGCTTATGAAAATGCAATGAATGTAGGAAGTAATCCTATCAGAACTGACGAGATCACAATATGCTCGTGTCAAACAATTAACCGCAATGTAGTATTGAGGAAGCAAATAGTTTCACATGTAAGATATGTGCATTTTAATCGATATATGTATTATCAATATTATTATTAAATATTGTACGTAAACTGTATAAATTATAATTAAACTGTTTAAGTCATGTAAGAAAAAAATGTGATTACTATGACATATATAGCAAAACATATACCAATATCCTAGTACAATTAAAGTTTGATGTGTATAAATTCGAAATTGTGTTGAAAGAGTTTTGAAACTGAATCAAATGTGCATTGAAAAAAATCAGCGATATGCACGTCAAACTCTTCTTATTTGGTAGTCTCTCCCGTGGTTTAGTGGGTAGAGTTATGGGCTTCCAGAACCAGAAGTTCCAGGTCCAACCCCCGCCTCGGATAGCCTAAAGCTACACTGTATCGGTTTTCATTTGAACATATAGATAGCAATATTTTTCAAGTAAAAATAGCTGACCAAGACTTTGCTGCAAAATCCCAATAAAAAATATGATCGCGGGGTTGCCTTCTAATCGCCTTC